GAGGTGTCCTTCCCATTTCCCAGACAAGGACATGGAGGCTCAGCTGCTGAAAGCCTTGGTTAAGTTTGCACAGCTAGTGAGTGATGCCAACCCCCTCCTCGCTCTGTGTCTTACGTGGATTCTCAGCCACATCCACCTGAGCTGCTAGCTCACCTCCCTCCTTGTGACTCACGAGGTCACCATTGGTCAAGGGTGGCTTATACTTGACTAAACTGTAGCACACCTGTCTGAGAGGGGACTCAGGCCATGGGATGAGTTGGACTCATTCTGGAAAAAAGAGGCCGCAGAGCTGGAAGATGCCGGGTTGGGGGAGGAGTGACTGTGCTGTGCTCCAGCATCGCTGGCCCCATGGCCCTCCCACGGGGCTTCCCTTCTCTGGAGCAAGGTGTCTCTGTGGCTGTGTCCCCACCAGAAGGTGAGCCCCTCCAAGGCAGCCCGGTCTTTTCACCCCTTGCGCCCACTCTCACTGTCATGTCCCCATCTCTTTAACCTTACCATGTCTTCACCCACCTATTAGAGAGTCAGTCTCTGCGTAAGTCTCTTATGCTGAGCACCAGGCAGAGGTCAGTGTGAAAGACAAGGGGGACAGTGAACTTGATTTCCCCCAAGAATCTCACAAAAACATCAATACACACAGCCTGCCCACAAGGGGGTCACACGATCCTTCCCACGAAGGGTCACATCGACCGGCCCCACCCCTTGGCAGGGGCACTGGCTGTTCAGTGAGATGAGTGGTGTATTCCAGACAGGAAGGCTAACTTGTTTGCTCAGTTAGATGTCACTACTGTACTAAAAAGAGGTGCCTGTCCCCCATCAAGTGATATGCCAGCTATGATCACGAACTCATTGAACTAACGCCACTCAACACATCCAGGGTTACTCGCTGCATCAGTGGTAGAGACAGGTCATTGTCCATCGTTACCAACAAAGGAGGGACTGGGAGGATTTCACAGACAGAAGCCTGAGTTAGGGCCTGATCACGGGGCAGGACTTAAAACCAAATGAAGGGGAGAAGTGAGGGTGCACGGCAGGGGCAGCATGAGCAAGGTGTGAGGAGAGGTGTGGCACACCTATGGCATGCTTCCAGACTAACGGGCTGGCCAGCCTGGTTAGGGTGGCTGGTTGTTCTGGAGAGGAGGTGGGAACCAAGCAGGTCACTGGGGCCAGAAGCAAGTGAGCCTGAATGTGTTAACCACCCCCCCACCCCGCCCCGCCACCACGTAGCCGTGATGCTGCAGAAGTCCCTGCCTCCTGGGCCACAGCATGGAGCCCTGGGGAGGGAAAGCAGCAACCCATGCCAGGCTCCTGAGCTATCCAGCCACACAAGCAGGGCTGTTTTCTTTTTTTAAACTACCAGAACACTTGTAGAACTTTTGAAACAAACTCCTGCTCAGGTCCCCGGTGACTCTGGCTCAATAGCCCAGGAGGGAGCCTGACATCAGAATTTTTCAAAGCAGCTCAGGTGATTTTGCTCCACCCTGAGGGATACCCCCATGCCAGAGTGGCCATTCCTCGAGACCCAGGACACCCAGCCCTGGGCTGGCCAGGGACAAGAGTGCAAGGGACAGTGTGGAGGGGTAGAGGGATAATAGGCCCATCTGAAGCTGAAGGAGGGAGGGTTTGGCAATGAGGGGTGCCGGGCTCAGCAATGCATCACTGCGCCCCCATGAAGGGCTTGTTCTCCTCAGTAGGAAGATGTTAAAGTGCCCCCATTTTTCAGTGACACGGTTGCTCTGCACCAGCCCACACTGTAGAATAAACAAATGAAATGTGTGAGCGCACACTGGCTTTTCTCAAGTTAATACCGCATGCGACTTTCAGCCAAGAGAAAGTACTCGAGTCTGGTGGAGAGACACCAAGCATTTGAGAGACAGATCCCAGAGAGCTGGCCGGGCTCGTTGTTACTGGATGAAGAAGCCCAGGGTGGGAAGCCTTACCCTAGAAGGCATGGCAGTCTGTGGCGGAGGCAGGCCAGGGCCCAGACCTCGTTGCCCAGGCAGGAAGGCAGTAAAACAATCATGGTTCACCATAGCCTTAGCCTCCTGGGCTCAAGCGATCCTCCCTCCTCCGCCTCCCAAGTAGCTGGGACTACAGGCAAACACCAAGCTCAGCTGATTTTTCTTTTCTTTTATAGAGATGATGTCTTGTTATGTTGCCCAGGTTGGTCTTGAACTCTTAGGTTCAAGCAATCCGCCTGCCTCAGCCTCCCAAAATGCTGGGATTACAGGTGTGAGCCACCATGCCTGGCTCCAGGCCTCTGACTTCTGAATAGGATTTTTTTTTAAGTTGAGTGACTTGGCCAAGGACACAGAGCTAACAAATAGCCGGGCAAGGATGGGAACTCAGGTTGGTCTGACTCGGGGTCCACACAACAGTCTCTGTCTTGGAGGTGTTCCAGCTCTGAGCAAGAGGCAATCGATACCCAGGCAGGAAGGACAGTCAGAGCAAAAGCTGGCAGAGCTGCCTGATGGGGGTCTCATGCCTCCTCCATCAAGGTGCTTATTTAGCTGTTTGGCAATTGTCTATTTTCCCATCTGTCCCCCCAGCAGCCTGGAGGAGAATAAACAGGAGGGGGACAACTCCCCAAGGTCAGAAGTAGTCCCTTCAACACCTCTGTGTTTGCAGTACCCAGAACAGGGCCAAACACCCAGAAAGTGCCATGCATGATTGTTGAATCCATGAAGCAGGTCACTCGATAAGCATGAATGAGTGTCCACGATGTGCCAGGGCTCAGTTGGGTGCTGACAACCCAAGTTGGAGCTCAACAGAGCAGTCACCTACTTTACGGAGCTTATGGTCCAGTGGAAGGGAAAGAAACAAGTCAACGGTGAGTACAGATGACAACGCATGCTAGGTGCTGTGGAGGGAAAGGAGCAGGGAACAGTGAAAGAGAGCCAGGCTGGTGGGAAGGGGACAGTGAGGTGGGGGGGCTTGCAAGGGGTGACATGCAAGTTGAGACCCAAAGGAAGAGGAGGAAGAAGAAGTGCAAGATGCCGGGAAGTGAGTTCCAGGCGGAAAGAACAGCAGGCGTGAGGCCCTGAGGTAGGGAAAGGCTTGGGCTGCTTAGGGGACTTGAGGCCAGTGGGACTGGAGTGTGTTACCTGAGATGGGATGGGGTAGGAGAGGGCAGATCATTCAGGGCCTCCTGGACGCAGGTACCGATTTTACGGTTGATTCTAGATGTCACGGGAGCCATGAAGGTGAGGGCCTGACCCATCTGCTTTCTCGAGATCCTTCTGGCCACTGGGTGGAGAATAAATGGGAAGTGGACAAGAACCGGAGCGAGGAGACCAGCGAGGTCACTGAGGAGTCCAGAAGCGAGAAGAGGGTGCCCTGGGCCTGCTTGGGGGAGGCGGGGAGATGGCAGCTACGTTCTGTCAAAGAGGCTGGGGCTATGGGGGCGGGGAGAGAGAGTAACCAGGGCATTCAGTTTTGTTCCTGGGCATCCGGAACTGCCCCTTACAGACAAGCAGAGAACGGGAACGTAAGTCGATTTGCTCTCAAGTTGGTGACGTTAAATCTGAAATGTTTGTGAAATGTTCATGTGAAGATGGTGAGTCAAGTGTGGGGCTTGGAGGAGAGGCCTGGGAGGGAGAGCTCTGTCGGGCGGGGCTGGGCTTGTAGGGGGTTTATTAAATGCAGGAGGTTAGATGAGAAAAGGCCTGAGCAGTAGCAACACTGGGAAGCTGAGTAGTGGGAGAGACGTCTGATGGAACTCCAGAGAGCAGGCAAAACGCCAGCCGAGCGTAAGGCTGCAGGGAAGAATGTAAAGAGTGTAAGAGTGATCGGCTGTGTCAGCCGCTGTGGAGAGGCCATGGAGGAGAATTAGATGTGTCTTTTAGATTTAACAACATGGATGTCATCGGTGACCTTTCCAGATTCACCAGCTCAGTGAATGACTCGGAAGATGCATAAAGAGGAGATAATAACTAGATCGGGTTGAGGAGTCAGGGAAGGCTTCCTAAAGGAGTGATTTTTCAACAGAACCTTAAAGACTGAGTCCTAAGAGACCTCAATGCTGCCTGCATTGAGCTTCCCTGTGAAGAGCACCGGGTACCATTCCATGGCACCCTCGGTTCGGGGAGCACAATCTCCACCTCCCAAGTGGGAAAGGGTGGAGGAGCTGGCTCACTCCTCAGCATCAGGGAGGCAGGGAGGCTGCCCCAAGGGACAGAGCCTGCTCACACTTGCAGGACGCAGAGGCTTGTCCACTTTCCTCCCTGCTGAGGAGTTCCGGGAGAAGAAGATTCCAAACCCGTGGAGCAAAGGGCTTGGACATTACCTGGGTCAACCAGCTCAGGTGCTGGAAAATGTGAGACCTATATGGGCAGGGGCCTGCCCCAAGTCACCTAGCACATCAGTGGTGAGCACCAAGTGATCCCAGTGACTTTCAAGGTCCTCGCCCTGCAGGATAAAGTCTGAATTCTTAGCCTAGTATTCAGGGTATTCTGTGATTGGGCAAGAACTCACCCTCCAAATCCATCTCCCTCCAACCCTCCCTCATCCCCCAGACCAAGCCTCCCGAACCCTTAGCATACACAAATATACAGTCTTCATGACAACCCTTCCAAGTAGGTGTTGTTATTCCCATTTTACAAATGAGGAAACTGAGGCTTAGAGGGGTTAGATAAAGTGTCTGGGATTATACAGCCAGTATGGTCCGGAGTTAGTGCTCTGTTCCCCAGGCCCTGCCTGCCTTCACCATGAAGAACCCGTGTCTGGGAAGCAATCCCTGAACTCCCCAGCCTTGCACTATCTTGAAGTTGGGCCACTTCCTGTGGCTCTAAATCTCTTGTTAAGTCCACGGAAAAGTGCACTGGATGGGATTCAAATAACCAATGCCAGCGAATGGCCCAGAATCCAGCAGCCCGTGACACTCCCCATGAAGGCCCTGAGTGACACAACTCCCAGCCACTCACAGCAGGAGCAAGGCGTGGACAGACACTGTGTCCTCTCTCCCCCCCACTCCCAGCCACCTAGGCAGACACCCTGCCTCTCACCTGGAGACCACCAGCGGTAGAATCAGCATCTTCAGCATCCTCATCAAAAGCTCTCCAGGGAACTGGAAGTAACTAATTTCCTGAAAACACAGCAAGAGCTGGGGTTATGGCAGCAGGCACAGACTTCATGGTTGTTCAGTTTCTTGCAACCTTCAAAGCACTAGCTCATCTGCACTCTCCTGTTTGGCACATGGTAGCAGAGTCCACGGGATGGATCTGGCTTTGGAGTCAAACAGGCCTGCATTTGGAGCCTGCCACACGCCCCCACAACAGCTGGGTGGCCTTAAGCATCTTCCGTGAAGGCTCTGAGTCTTAGTTTTTCTCATCTGTCACATGAGGATAATAACGACAGTTGACCCCTCTTATCCTTGGGGGACACATTCTGAGACTGCCAGTGGATGTCTGAAACCATGAATGATATTGAACCCTACCTATGAAGACCGACAATTAAGTTTGCAAACTCATCCTAGAAAAAGTGCTACATACCTCACTGCTGAATATCACTATGGTCACTTTTGAAGTACTCCCCTTGGGAAGCTAGGCACTGACGCCAGCACCTAGTCCACCCACACCCTACTGGGTGCCCCGAAATGAATTAGGCATGGGTCCTGCCCCAGAGAACTCCCCAGCCTAGTTAATGAGGAGACTGGCTCATAAAAGCAGACTGTGACCTTCTTATAAGTCAGTTTCTTCATGTTTGGGGCCCATTCTTGAGTGCTTCTCCCATAAATGCTCAGTGAGAGACGGTTGGCTTGGATCAGACACCATTCAGCAGAAATTGCCCTATCGGGCGGAGTTCTGACATCTGGCCCCGTGTAGGCTGCCACTCCAGCCTATCCATGGGTCTTCGACTAGGGTGCCAACTCCCTGCCTAATTCACTGTCTCCCAAGCAACAGGGCTGGGTGACCACAATCTGACGACTGTAGTCCGAGGGACCACTCAGCCCCGTTAAATTGGGCTTTTGGGTAACAACATGTAATTCATTCTTTTACTAACAAAATTATTTGTTGTTTATCTGAAACTCCGGTTTAGCTGGGTGTGCTGTCTTTAAATTTTTCAGTTTAATTTAATTTTGCCATTTCTGGCAACCCTAGCCTGGCGCCACTTTCTTCAGAGGTGAAGGTGTGGGTGAGGCAGACAAATAGACTTCCAAATACCATCCAAGTTGAAATTTTGTACTTTCAACTTTTAAAATTTTTTTTTAACCAAAGCCAAACATACTTGATTCATGCTCCAATGCTTTGAAAGACCCCAAATTGTAAAACGTTGGTGCTATGGAGGGGTTTTCGAGATCTGCCTGTCCAGTCCACCGATTTATAGGTGAGAGGCTGATTGGAGAGAGGGAGGTGACCGGTCCACTAAATACTAGCCACAGTGCATAACTGAGAGTCCAGACTTCTAGTCCGGTTCTGCTACCATTTTCAGTGCATCAGAAAATCTGCTTTTTAAAAGAAATATATCCATCCCAACTATATATTATAATCAACTTTATTTGTCAAGTTTAAAAAGTGCTTTACTGATAAAAAGGCAACTTCTTCTTCACCTCTCTCTATCCCTTCCCCAGCTTCCCAGGAGTGAACATCCTCAACTCTGCTCTCTGTTTCCTTAGTATTGTGACTTCTAAATAATATGATTATAATACGATTTCTTGATTTATCAGTTTGACATCTATTACATTCCCTGCATGACTGATGAGGTCTTGGTTCCTATCCCCTTTTTCTTCCTCCCTTTTCACCGTCATATTTATAGCAATGCTTGGATAAATCAATAGTCAAGGTTTATAATATTTTGATCTTCAAATAGTGTTTATGGCAGGGCATGGTGGCTCACGCCTATAATCCTAGCACTTTGGGTAGCCAAGGTGGGAGGATCTCTTGAGACTGGGAGTTCAAAACCAGCTTGGGCAGCATAAAGAGACCCTGTCTCTACAAAAAAATTTTTTTAAAAAGTTAGCCAGGCATGGTGGTGTGCACCTATCGCCCCAGCTACTTGAGAGGCTGAAACAGAAGGAACGCCTAAGCCCAGGAAATCGAGCCTGCAGTGAGCCATGATCATGCCACTGCACTCCAGCCTGGGTGACAGAGTAAGACCCGACTCAAAAAAACAAATTAGTGTTTACTGTTGATCCAAGTAATGCACTACCGCTTGCTTGTACAACTTTTGTTTTTGCCCTGAAGTTAATTGACTGATTTGTCAGTTGTCTTGTTTTCTGAGAGCTATCAACAATTCTGAGAACAATCAATTCCTTCCAAACATTTTAACATGTCTATTAAAATGCCTAACAGTATTATTTGCTATACACTCAAGCACATCAGTTCTCTTTCATCCCGCCTGGAACTTCAGTCCGAGAATCTCCACTTCCTGCTTCAGTTCAGAGAGACTGCTCTCTAGGTCCAGTGGTTGTCATGGGTCCCTTTTTCATTGTCACTCTGGGACCTCATCCTGTCTGGGACCCCTGTTTTCTGGATCCCCTGTCTTCCTGGTTTACTTCCTTGTTTTGCTGGACTATCCCCTTTGGTAGCTCCCTGAGTAATGGTGGATGGGAGAGAAACTTTTCTGAGTCCTTACAGGGGCCAAAAATGTCTTTATTCTACCTGTATCTCTGGTAATAGTCTGGCTGTATGTAAGAGTCTTCGTTGAAAACAATCTCCCCTCCAAATGTTGAAGGTACTTCTCCATAACCATCTAGCTTCCGGTGTTGCTTAAGACGTTTGAGGCCATTCTTATTTCTTATTCCTTAGATGAGACCTGTTTATTCTCCCAGAACCATCTAAGGACCATATGTTTATCGTTACTTTTCTGCAATTTCCTGGTAATGTGCTACAGTGTGGTATTTTCTTTTTTAAAAAAATTTATAGTACTGTGCTTACCTGGCACGTCTGAGAAACTACTTGCATTCTCTACAAAATTTCTCTCTTCCATTTTTTCTATTAGTGCTGTCTAAAACTACCACTAGATAGTTGGATGTTGAACATTCGAATTCTCTTATATTTTCTTCTTCTAGTTTCATCTCTTTTTGTTTTACTTTCTGGGAGATTTCTACAACTTTATCCCAGCTATTGACAGTTATACTATTTTTTTTTTTTTTTTTTAATTGGAGTCTCACTCTGTCGCCCAGACTGGAGTGCAGTGGCCGCTCCCGTCCACCGCAGTCTCTACCTGCTGGGCTCTGGTGATCCTTCCACCTCAGCCTTCCAAGTAGCCAGAATTACAGGCATGCACTACCATGCCGGCTGATTTTTTGATCTATTGTAGAGATGAGGTCTCGCTGCCCGGGCGGGTCTCGAACCCCGTGGGCTCAGGCAATTTTTTGATTCACTCACCTCAGCCTCCCAAAGGCGCAGGATTACAGGCTGAGCCACCGAGCCTGGCTTTTTTTTTTTTCTTTTGGGTTGGAATCTCACTCTGTTGCCCAGGCTGGAGTGCTGTGGTTCACAGCCATCCCAGTGCTGACCTGCTTGGCTCAGGTGATCCTTCCGCCTCAGTCTTCCAAGTAGCTAGAACTACAGGCTCGTGCTACCATGCTTGGCTCATTTTTATTTATTTTGGAGATGAGGTCTTGCCAAGTTGCCCCGGCTGGTCTCGAACCCGTGGGCTCAGGCAATCCACTCGCCTCAGCCTCCCAAAGTACTGGGATGACAGACTGAACCACCGAGCCCAGTCAACAGTTAAGCATCTTTTATTGATGCGTAATATCTTTACCTATTTTTGTGGTACATGTGGTACTTTGTTATACACATAGAATGCATAATGGTTAAGTCAGGGTGTTTAGGACATTTGTCATCTCAAGTATTTTCATTTCTACATGTTGGGTTGCCATTGACATTTTTATCTTGGCTCTTCTGGTTTTAAATTCCCAAAACACTTTCTCGTTCTCTGATTGTTCCTTCTTCTTAGTGTCCCATTCTGTTTTATGGTAACTATGTCTTCTCTCATAGCTCTGAAGAACTTAAGAAAAGATTTACAAAGTTTTCTCCCACTCCTTGCATCATCTCTCCTTCATCAGAGATGCTCTTTTATCTTTGTTTAGTCTCTTTCAACACTAGCAACTTTCCTCTAGCTTCTGGTGACTTTGGCTCCTGCTTATATGTAAGTCTGAAGCACTAAACTTCTGTGTATATGAGTGAGGCTTGTCAACTGAGTTATATGAGCGAGACTGTCACCCTCAGGGCAGAGTGACAGGTGATGACCTGGCTTCTTCACTGGGGCGGGTGGGATGGTAGAGGGATTGCCTTGATGGCAGAATTCAGAGATCTTTTCTCTGAGGCTTCAGTGAGAGAAGTCTCTTCCTACCTGTGGCTGGGGAATGGGACTGTGCCCAAGCTCAACTGCCGGCCATGGTGAAGCCGTGCTGGGGACCCCACACTCAGAATGTGGAGAGATGTCTGTGAACTAGCAGGTGCCTCACCACTGCCCACTCCCCATCATGCCAGGTGGGCCTGATATCCCTAAATCAAGCTACTCTGGCTCCTTGGGGTGGGCAGTGCATGGAGATGCATGGGTGAGGAGCCCCCTGACAGAGGTGGAAGGATCCTAGCGGTCTAACTTCTCCAGTTGCAGAATTTCAAATGATGCCGAGTGCAGCACCTTGTAAATTTTATGCCCAGAGTCCTTCTGGAGACCATAAGACAAACTGATTTGGTGTCTACTTCCATAAGACATAAGACTTTAGCTGTCTGTGCCCTACTAAACGAGCTCCTTCAACTCCATTCATTTCCAAATTGTCTAATTTGTTGTCTCTCAATTTCTTTTCTCAGTCGTCTCCTTTTATATTCTCTTTATTCTTGGTGGTGTTTATCTTTTAAAAGTTCCATTGCTATTGTTTCAGTGAAATTCTAAAAAGGAGGGGGACAAAATGAATATAATGGTGATCCGTCATGGTTTAACTGGGAGTCTCAAGGCTCTGTATTTTTAAATGAGATACTCATATCCAAAGATAAAATCTTGTGATTTTGGAAGTTCTTTTCACAAATGGAACATTCCACCGTTTTCCAAATTGTTTATGATGTTTGCCTGTAGCATAAGTTTACAAAATAAGAAGAGTTTAGTTTCTGAGTCACAGGCAAAGAGATCAAACAGAGAAATTCTAGATTTCAAAGTAAGATGCTGAGAAAGCCAATTCCTGCCAAATAATTGTCCTAAGACGCCACATCCTTCCTTCAATTTATCTGGCAGGTTAATCCAGACCGGAATACATTTGCATTTCCAAACAGATGGGGAAGGCAGCTTTGGCAAAGGAGGACTCAGATGAGTTTGGCTTTTAATAACAGGCATTCCAATTTGTTTTCAAAATAATCTTCCTGAAGGAAATATATTGTTGTTGAGGAAAATTAAATAGAGCAGATTGCAGATTGTTTGTTCCCTTGCCAGTTTAATGCAGCACATAGTTGAACCTTCTCTCCGTGCCTGACACTGAGCTCGGCTCACATTTGGGTTCAAGAAAACCCACGTGTTGCTCAGCAATGTGCTGTCTGGCGCGAGGAATAGACACCTGCATCGCCAGCTCTGAAGCAAGGCAGCCAGTGGCTGGGTTACCACCGAGGAATGCGCTTGGTGTGAGTGTGGGAGGACAGGATGATTCTAGATGCAGACGGCTCCGAAATACTTTGGATAAGATGGGGAATATGAGGTAGGTGGGACTTTGACAGGCAGATAAGGGAGGGAGGGGTGAAGTAACATTCAGTGAGCACTTGCTATATGCTGGGCACTGATGAGTCCTTGGTTTATTCCTCACAACAATTCTGGCAGACATATAGTGCCTCCACCCCATTTCCAGATAGGTAAACTGAGGCACAGAGAGGAGACAGAATTTTGCCCAGCCATTTCCTATCAGAGTCCAAGTTCAGGGTTCTACTGTCTCCAGAGTCCATACTTCTCCTTAAATAACAGCTCGTGGCTTGATGGGGATTCTTTAGTAATAATGGATTCAAGACCCTGGAAGTCAGCTGAGCACAGTGGCTCACACCTGTAATCCCAGCACTTTGGGAGGCCGAGGTGGGAGGATTGCTTGAGCCAAGAGCTCAAGACCAGCCTGGGTAACATAGTGAGATCTTGTCTTTACATACAGTTAAACAATTAGCTGAGTGTGGTGGCTCGAGCCTCTAGTTCCAGCTACTCGGGAGGCTGAGATGGAAGGAATTGAAGGCTGTGATCGTGCCACTGCCCTCCAGCCTGGGCAACAGAGTGAGACCCAGACTCAAAACAAACAAACAAAAACTCCAAAAGTCAAAGTCTATTGCCTTGACCCCAGTTGTAGAGATTGTTTTAGACATTAGTGAGCTATAAGAATAGGGAGTCTTCAGGGAGCACATTGACAAAGATGTTGTCCTTGACCAAACTTAAGACAGTTTTCTCTGAGTCCTCTTTTCGTCTAGGCCTTGTCCTTGGGCCTTGTCTTTGGCTGGCATAACCCACTTGTAGCAACAAGTCTGCGAAGTCGGTTTAGTGAGAATCCCCTCACCCTTGATCTTCCTCGAGAGCTAAGGAAACTCCTCATCCCCCACTCCCAAGATCCGATCACCCTGGCCTGCCTGCAGCAAGAATCCTGGTAAGTCGGTTTCATAAGAGTTCCCCAGCCTTGACGTCTCCTTTCAGTCATTTTCCATTCACCCACCCTTCATTCAGACCCCTTCACTCTACTCCGGGGCTCAAAGTCTTCAGCTGTCTTTGTTGGATATGTCATTGAGTCCTCTCTCCCGCAGGGGGTCTTGACAGCTACCCCAACAGTCCTGAATAAAGTCTTCCTTGCAGTAACAAGCATCAGAATCCTATTTCCCCAACACCCTGTGTGGGCCTGGCACTGGGGTGGGAGGAACAAGCGAGACGTTTGCTTGATTGTTTCCATACTCATCTCCACTTCCTTCCAGAAATAACCGAAAGTAAGGCAGTCATGGCCCACACTCATTAAGCATTTGCTGTATACCAGGTGCCATTCCAGAAGCCTTGAATTAGCATATTTAATACCAACGTCTATCACAAGACGCAAGTACTATTAAGGGGCGCAGCACCATTCCATGCATGTGAGGCCAGCCGGGGGCACAGGGTCTGGCTGAGGGCTCTTCCTCTGCTACAGGAAATGCGCGAGAAGGAAGGGGTCCTTCCCCAGTCATGGGGTCCCTATGGCAGTCACACAGGCCAGAAAGATGGGCCCTGCCTCGCCTCCCTGTCCCCCAACCTGCATCCCATCCACCCCCGCTTCCTGACGTTCCTCTTTTGGAAACAGTCTTCACGTCTGACCCTTCCATCCCCACCCTCAGCTCTCCCCCACGATCTTCCCCCCGCTGCCGCCTGCCCCATGCTCTGCTCAGCACCCAAGGTATCTCTACAGAGCTCAGATCTGATCGCTCGGGTCTCCTCAAGAGCTTCTTGTGGTGGCCTCAAGTCCTTGCCTGGTGATGAGACCTGTGGGCCTGCTGGCCCCTGTGCACTGACCCCTGCGCCTTGCATCTGCTGTCACCTCTAGCTAGAATGCCCTTCCTGGGCCTCTTAGTCAGCTAGATCTCTGGCTCACCTCTACTCAGATGGGCTGCCTCTGGTGTATAAGAATACCGTGTGTTTCCTGGTGCCTGCTTCGAGCTCTTACAAGACCCCACTTTACCCCGACCCCCAACCCCAGCTCCTAGCCCTGGGTTGTTCTAATGAAGCATCCCTGCCTCTCCTGGTGGTTTCCTGGTGGTGCCAGGTTTGTAATCACTTCCCCGGCCATTTTATTGGTTCCTTCTTCTAGTCCTGCAAGGTATTTATCCTACCCTTGTTACAGATGAGAAAACTGGCCCCAGCGGGGCAAAGGGGCGCACACACACATGCCACCAGGGAGTTGTGGAGCAAACATGTGACCCCAGGTCCCTCGGGTCAACACCCTACCCCCAGACAGGAGCCCCCAGGTGCTCCAGGTGGCTGACCTGTGGTGAGAGGCGCCGGGTCCTCAGGAAGAAGCCGAGAAGGCAGCCCACGATGACAGACAGCACAGACAGGATGAGCAGTCCGTTCCGCCTGCACACGTCCCTCCCCCGCGCCAGGATGGCACCTGGCACCATGGCGAGCCTGGCCTGCTGGCAAGGGGCACAGCACCATTCCATGCATGTGAGGCCAGCTGGGGGCACAGGGTCTGGCTGAGGGCTCTGGCTCCTCAGCAGGCAGGTGGTCAGAGTTGCTAAGCACCCGTCGCCAGCCCCACGGCCATGCCTGTGTGGCCGCCCCAGAGGGAAGCCACAATCCTATTACCAGCTGCATCATTAGGAGCTGGGAGCAGATTAGGGCCTGGGAAATTAGAGCAGGCCACGTGGTCTGAGAGTTTGGGGCTCAAAGCCCAGCGCTCCTCTTAAACCAGGGAGTGGGCCCGGCACTGGGGTGGGAGGAACAAGAGGAACGTTTGCTTGATTGGTTCCATACTCATCTCTACTTCCTTCCAGAAATAACTGAAAGTATGGCAGTCATGGCCCACACTGATTAAGCATTTGCTGTATACCAGGTGCCATTCCAGAAGCCTTGAATTAGCATATTTAATACTAACGTCTATCACAAGACGCAAGTACTATTAATATCACCATTTTACAGATGAAGAAATTGAGGTGGCTGAGTAACAAGCATGGGCTGCACATCAGGCCTATTCTGGATACTCTACCTATTCTACTCACAGGGAATCTCCCAGTGATCCTGGGATTCCGAGCTTATTTTACTGAGAGGGAGAGTGAGGTTCCAGGAGCCAGAGCCCCTTGGCCACGGTCACAGAGCTAGCAAGTTTGGTTTCCACTGCATAAGCAGGCAGGTGGTTCAAGGGTGCTTGGCAGTATTGTGGGAATATAGATTAGTCTAGTGGACTTGAGTTTGAACTTGGGCTGTGCCACTCATGGAAACAGGATGCATATTTTTCAGGGCTGCTCTAGCACTGGGCACCCTACATGTTCTCAGGGCCTCTTATTTATTTATTTATTTGAGTCAGAGTCTTACTCTGTCGCCCCGGCTGGAGGGCAGTGACACGCTCCCAGCCACCGCAGCCTTGACCTGCTGGGCTCAGGTAATCCTCCCACCTCAGTCTTCTGAATAGCTGAAACTACAGGCACGTGCCACAACACCCAGCTAATTTTTTTTAAGTGAGAAAGCAGGGTTTATTGAGAGGACAGAAAAGCTCCCACAGTGGGAGGGGACCTGAGGGGGTTGCCCACTTTTTTTATTTATTGTAAAGATGAGGGCTCACCAAGTTGCCAGGGCTGGTCTCGGACCCGTGGACTCAGGCAATCCTCTCATCAAAGTGCTAGGGATTATAGGCGTGAGCCACAGCACCCAGCCGGGCCTCTTATTTTTAAAGATGACAGGGCCCAAGAGACCTGCGCTCAAGTCCCAACTCCACCACTTACTAGCTATGCGAATCTGGACAGCCATTTCATCTTACTGTGCCTCAGCCTCCCCATCTGTAAAACAGAGATAATAACAGCATCTGTTTCATTAGGGCTGGTACAAAAGTCCATCCAGAGAATATCTGTCACAGCAGCATGAATGCTCCATGCTAAACAGGGGGAAAAGCTGCTAGGGTTATTGTCACACTTAGCACTTTGGAGAAAGGGTTTCTTTTGCTATTTCTTGTGACCTGGCCTACCCTTTAAAGTCAGGGGGAATTAACCCTCGTCTATTTCACCAGGAATCTGTAATCCCATTAGGAACAGTCGGGTGGCAGTAGGAAGCACAGTCTGCGGTGGGCGTGGGGATGTCACAGGTGGGATGGCACAGGGACTGTGTCCTTCTGACGTAGGAGACCAGGCCATGGATGAGGAGGACAGGCCACGTGGGTCCCGCAGGGGGTGGGGCTTGGGGGCTTGGGCACAGGCCCTGAAGCCAGGGGCAGGATTCTCGACTGGGAGGATTCTGGTTCCAGTTAAATCAGCTCTGTGACCTTGCCCTCTCCGGGGCTGTCTTGCCTGTTTTAGAAAGAGAGAAATGGGTTAGGTGCCTTCCAAGGAGCTTCGACAAACTAACCTTCCAAGCCCCTGCTTTCTGCAGTAGCTTGGGAAGAGGAGGGTGGAAACAAACTGACACTTTTCCTCAATTCTGACTCTTAAAACCAAATCTTTTCTGATACACCTTCAGATCCAACAAATGCCTCATTTTCCAATCAGCCAGATGGCTGGTTACTGCCTGGAAGAGAAAACATTCAGAGTAGATATTTGGATTTGTGATTCCACCGAGGCCCAGGCCTGGCCCTTAGCCATGCCATGAAGTGGGTGAGCCTTGCTTCCTACTCTAGCTCTAAGAACCTGATTCCCAGGACGCCCCACAACTGCCACTGACTCCTTTCTCCCCCACCACCATTGCCTTCCATATTCCATTTCTTTCTCTCCACCGTTCCCACTGTCTTCAGCAGGGGCCTGGCAGTCCAGACTAGCAAATGTTGCCATAGCTCCATTTAGTGGCCCCATCCTGGGTAATGGGGACATAGCAGCGAGTCAGATGCAGACCTGCCCTCAGGGAGCTTATAAGAAAACAGAGGCCTGGGCATGGTGACTCAAGCCTGTAATCCCAGCACTCTGGGAGGCTGAGGTGAGAGGGTGCCTGAGACCACGGGTTCGAGAACAGCCTGGGCAACTTGGCAAGACCTCATCTCTACAATTAAAAAAAAAAAATTAGCCAGGTATGGTAGCACATGCTTGTAGTTCTGGCTACTTGGAAGACTGAGGCAGAAGGATCACCTGAGCCCAGTAGGTCGATCCTGGGGTGGCCATGAGTGTGCCACTGCACTCCAGCCTGGCTGATGGAGAGAGACTCCAACACAAAAAATTTAAACGGAGAGGCTCGGAGAAAGGACTACTTCACACTGAAGTGTAAGTGACCGATCATGAATTTACTAAGCATATGTATGAAAGAAGTTGGGCGCCTGTAATGACTCCACACCCGGCCAGGACCAAGAGATTTATTAAAGCGGCTGTTACAGAGGGGATCTGTAATGGGAAAAAAGAAAAAGAGAGAGAGAAAGAGAGAGTAAGAGAGAGAGAGGAAGTGGGAGAGAGGCGGGGAGAGAGCTGCAGAGAGAGAGAAAAAGAGAGACCGAGGGAGAATGAGTCGCGGGGAGGGGGCTGTATTTATCAGCCTGACAGGGGCCGGAAGGGGCCGTGCTATGTTCCTATTGGAGGAGCTGCATGGGAGTAGGGTGGGGCCAATGCCGTGTTATAGTCCTATTGGACGCATAACAAAGCTGGCTACGGATTGGAGGCTTGCAGGTTTGAACTTCGCGCGCGGGAAGGTTTGAAATTTGCGTGGTGGGGAATTGGGCTCACAGAAGCCAGGATCTAGGGCCTTTGTTGTCTGGTGTGTCGGCACCATTTTGGGAGCCGCCCCTCTGGTTGCTTCCTGCACCCTTCAATGTACAAATCAAATCAAAAGGTACCTGAATCAGAACCCTTTAATAACTCACCATTGCCCAAGAATGTTACTAGATATGCAAACATTTTTAGCATAATCACACAAAAAACAAGTTTGGAAAATATTGGATAAACAAATTTAAGCAGGTCCTTTACTCTGGGGCAGCTCAAAGCCAGACTGCTAGAGTTAAAAATCTTAGCTCTAGGTAGGGCACGGTTGGGAGGCCGAGGCAAGGGAATTGTCTGAGCCTGGAGGTTTGCGAACAGCCTGGGCAACTTGGTGAGACCTCATCTCTACAGTAAATCACAAAAACCAGCATACATGGTGGTATTCGTCTGTAGTTCCAGCTACTCGGAAGGCTGAGGCGGAAGGATCGCCGGAGCCCAGCAGGTTGAGGCTGCGGTGGCCGTGAGCGTGCCACTGCACTCCAACCTGGGCGACAAGAGTGACTCCAACTCAAAAAAAAATCTTAGCTCTACCGCTTACTAGCTGTGTGACCTTGGGCAAATTTCCTAACCTGTCTTTAGAATGGGGATGATACAACAACACCCAGTTCAGCGTTGTGATGAGGATCAAACGTGGTGTCTGCGACAAGCTCAGAGCTTTTCCTGGTGCCTCGCGGGACCTCACCGGCAGCCCCTAGTAGCTTCGCTAGCCTTTGCAGTAGCAGCGTGTGTCAGAGAAAGCCACCAGGTGGAGGACATAGTCTCCCTCTCCAGAGCAGAGAATTCCATGGGTCTGGGTTTTGGGAACACACCTGGGAAGACTCCAGCCCCCAGGATCAAGACTGTGTTCCCCTCAAAGCATCTGAGGTCCTCAGTGCGGTGTCCTGTGTCACTCGGCTCTTCGGCGTACCACCTCCTCTGACCCATCACACCTCGAGCTTCTATGACACCAAATTACAATTTCCTTGAGTGCTGCATCCTCTCTCAGGCTCCCACGACTTTGCCTGTGCTATTTCCTCTGCCTAGATTGTCCTTCCTTGTCGCTGAAGGCACAGGTCAAACGCCCCCTCTTCTTTAAAGCCTCCCCTGATTACCCGAGATACAACACCCCTCTCTTTTTCCTCCCACCAACTCAGGCCCGTCCACAAGCACCAGCCAGGTATTAATCCCAGTTCCCTTTTAAGGGGCTCTGACAAGAAAATAATAATAAATGAGAGTATAATTGGATCTCTGCCACCGAGTCATTTGAAAACACCTCAAAGGAAAATCCCCAAAGTGTGGGGGTGTCTTGGCTGGGGAGGGGGCACCCTAAGGAGCAGGGTGCCATGCCCCGGAGCAGCTGAAATGAATGGGCAGTTGGAAGCTGGAGAGATGCTTCTGGGGAGACTTGAGCCACATAGACGAGGGTGCAGTGGGCAGAGAGAGAGACTGCTGCCCAAAATGGCACCAAGTCACAAGTCACAGGCGTAGCTATCCTGTGTCTGCAGAAGCGAACTCACAGTTGAGCTGTCTCGCCGGGCAACTGTGCCGGGTGTGCCAGGTTGGAGAACAGTTGGGGCTGGCTTATCGCTAATGATTCGTGACTCTCAGGGGCTGGGGGTTGGGGGGCGACCCAACCTGGAGAAGCAGGCATAGGAAGGCTTCCTAGAGGAGGTGTCATTCAGTTGGAGACCCCCAAAAGCCAGAGAAAGGGTGCTAGTCCAGAGGGAGGTGACAAGAGAGCCCGAAAGAGGGGCCCGGGCCTAGGTGTGAGAACAGAGGGCTCGGAACCAGCCACGGATCCATGGGCTGGACTGGCCAGTGGGTTGGGCCTCAGCCCTCCACCATGCATCAGAAGGAGTTGAGGTCGGGCCATGTGAGCTCCCAGCTGGGTCTGTGGTGACGACAGCTCTGGGTCTGTTGGCTGCTCTCCAGA